CATCAGAGGTCCACGGTTGTTCAACGTCCTCCCAGCGAGCATAAGAAATATTGCCGGAACAACCGTGGACATCTTCAAGAGAATACTATCTAGTTTTCTTGAAGGAGTGCCAGACCAACCGGGCTGTAGTGGATATGGGTTGTCAAGCAACACCCTGTTGGACCAAACTCTCACAAGTCTGGGAGTAGAACACTTCTACTCCAGGTACATAGCCAGGAACAATCCAGGCTTCCTCACATATACATTTAGGGGAGTAGAGTGGCGCCGGGTAAGGATGAGAGAGCGTTGCTTTCCCCCTATCTCTCTCCCCACTATCTGCTCTCAGCCCACCTCTCCCCGCCACCCAGCCCCTCGGGCTGTAGTTGACTCACTCCCGTGTGTATCAGCCTTCCTCATCTTGAGCCGTGTTCGCTGCCTCTCTGACGGCTGCGGGGATCTTCCGTCCTTCACAAGGGCTATATACCCAACGTGTCCCTTGGTTTTAGCTATATGTTAACTCATAGTTTACTTTGGTAAACTTGATGAACACCTCCAAAGGATACCTGATCAACCAGGCTGCGAGTAGCTGCGTCTAACAGTCTGGTTGAGCACACCATCAACCAGGAGGCCTAGTCAGAGTCAGAGACCTGGCCGTTGATCCCGGGAAGCTACACAATGTAGGTAGGTAGGTAGCCTACCTAGCCTGGTCCCGTATCTGCTTGATGGGGTTCTGGGAGTTCTTCTACTCCCCAAGCCCAACCCGAGGCCAGGCTTGACTTGTGAGAGTTTGGTCCACCAGGCTGTTGCTTGGAGCGGCCCGCAGGCCTACATACCCACCAGCACACGTGACCAGCACACGGTCCAATTCCGTGACCAGCACACGGTCCAATTCCGTGACCAGCACACGGTCCAATTCCGTGACCAGCACACGGTCCAATTCCGTGACCAGCACACGGTCCAATTCCGTGACCAGCACACGGTCCCGTGGGCCGTGTGATGGTCCCGTGGGCCGCGTGCTGGTCCCGTGGGCTGCGTGTTGGTCCCATGGGCCGCGTGCTGGTCCCGTGGGCCGCGTGCTGGTCCCATGGGCCGCGTGCTGGTCCCGTGGGCCGTGTGATGGTCCCGTGGGCCGCGTGTTGGTCCCGTGGGCCGCGTGTTGGTCCCGTGGGCCGCGTGCTGGTCCCAAGGCCGTGTGCTGGTCCCGTGGGCCGCGTGTTGGTCCCATGGGCCGCGTACATGGGCCACGTGTTGGTCCCGTGGGCTGCGTGTTGGTCCCGTGGGCCGCGTGTTGGTCCCATGGGCCGCGTACATGGGCCACGTGTTGGTCCCGTGGGCCGCGTGTTGGTCCCGTGGGCTGCGTGCTGGTCCCGTGGGCTGCGTGCTGGTCCCGTGGGCCGCGTGCTGGTCCCGTGGGCTGCGTGCTGGTCCCGTGGGCCGCGTGTTGGTCCCGTAGGCTGCGTGTTGGTCCCGTGGGCCGCGTGTTGGTCCCGTGGGCTGCGTGCTGGTCCCGTGGGCCGCGTGCTGGTCCCGTGGGCCGCGTACATGGGCCACGTGTATATAACGCACCATCATATTAATATTCTGCCACTGTAAATGACAATAGGTAATCGCTCGTCCGGTTGATCGATCTCCGCCTCTACACTTTAATGTCATGACCTTGGATACAAAAACAAAAACTAGTCGCTTTTAATCGGAAAGTTCATTATCTCTCGAGATAAGCCAATAGTGTGTGCGCGTGCGTTCGTGTCATTGTATATAAATATATCATTATTTTTATTATTTAATTTTTATTGTCCGTGTTATGATGAAAGTTGGCGTGTCGAAGCTTAATATACAATTCTATCAGGTTGTACTTGTAGAGGATTACCTGTGGACAATTTTGAGTGTTCTCCTATGACAGGCATGGCGTGATTGTCTGGTCTGTGAAGCTGGTTGTCTGTGTATCCCGCAGGCAAACAGCCATCACAGCCAGGCTGATCCGGTAACTCCAGCGGAACTTAAACAGTTCTTCCCTCTTGAGAGCTGCCATTGTTATTCCAGCAACATTTGTTACACTTGGTGGCAGGAGGTTGTGGAGTGGCGGCCCTCTCATGTTTACACTGTCTTCTCTTATTGGCTTTATGGAACCCAAGAGTTTTTATTGGATATATTTTACACTTCCTGCCATCTCTCTCACTCCAGTATGTCGTTGCTTCCTTGTGCAGGGCTCCTTAGTGATTGTATATATATATATATATATATATATATATATATATATATATATATATATATATATATATATATATATATATGCGGAAAATCCACAGAGGAATATGAAAGAAAGTGAACGTTTCGGCCTGTTAAAGCCTTTGTCAACACAAGACTGAGTCTTGTGTTGACAAAGGCTTTAACAGGCCGAAACGTTCACTTTCTTTCATATTTCTCTGTGGATTTTCAGCATAAAATGATCAGTGTTTTGTGATCGTCAATTGCATATATATATATATATATATATATATATATATATATATATATATATATATATATATATATATATATATATATATATATATATATATATATATATTATATTACCCCGGCATCAGGTGAAAGAAAAAATCGTGTCACGAGGTGACCAACCACCTGAGAGTGAAGTCTTGGGTACAACACCCAGACAGTACACTGCCTGGGATTTATGTAGGGCATACGTATATCTGCGTATCTACGTATTTACGTATGTAGGTTAGCTTAGCATTTTAAAAGCACCGAATCACCTTCTGTGGTTGAGTGTTCAATAAACCCTTGAACTGTATGTTTAACACTTCTCTAACCCTGTCCATGGAGGACAGAAGAAAATGTATATATGCTGGTTAGCATTGTAAATGTGTGGCCACGTCTGTGGTAGAAAATAATAATAAAAACAACTGCCTGGGAGACGGCACCCGCATCACAGGCATCACAGTGTGATGAAGCATCACAATGTGATGAAGCATCACAATGTGATGAAGCATCACAATGTGATGAAGCATCACAAGTACAGTATCATAAATCTCTCGGTGTTTAAATTAACAAATTTGTTTCGATCAAATCTTGAAACATTTTTTGAACGCTTCCCGCACTACACCCTTAGATAACGTCTGCTTTAGGGTGGTTATCTTCTTGAGAGGATTTCGGGGCTTGGCGTCCCCGGGGCCCGGTCCTCAACCAGGCCTCCTGTTGGTTACACATCCCCAGGAAGCAGCCCGTAGCAGCTGTCTAACTCCCAAGTACCTATTTACTGCTAGGTGAAAAGGTGCATCAGGATGAAAGACACTCTGCCCATTTGTTTCCGCCTCCACTGGTAATTGAACCCGGAACCTTTGGACTACGAATTCCAAACGCTGTCCACTCAGCTGTCAGGCCCGGGACAAACGGTGGGTAAATATAAATGTCTCTTGATAAACCCAGCGGGTTTTCTTCCTATTGAAAGTGGTTGTACACACTGCTGTGGCTGGGTGTTCACTCAGAGTGGCTGACGGTGACCGCTAGTCACCACCGAGGATGTTGTTATAGATTCAGCCACTCGGAACAAGTTCCAAGTAGCACGGACTATGGTGAGCCCGTAACTTATCTGGCACAGGAGCGGGGCAAGTAGCACGGGCTATGGTGAGCCCGTAACTTATCTGGCACAGGAGCGGGCGGGGCAAGTAGTACGGGCTATGGTGAGCCCGTAGTGGACTTAACTGGCACAGGAGCGGTGCTCCTCTGTGTTCTATAGCCCCCGATGAGTAAAATAAATACTCAATTATCTTTTCCACTTTCGTTCGCGGGGTCTTACTTGTACTCCGTGAACGTGTACGGCACACAGAGACACGCTCAAGGACTTGTATTATTGGGACCGTCTTAAAGCACTCAAAATGTATTATATACACAGGGATGATACTGGAAGGTCAGGTCCCAAATTTACACGGTAAAACACCCACATTTCACTTTCTCGTCACATATGACATATCCAGTTTTGGATAAAAAATTGCCAGTATACAGTACAACATGTTGGTAAAGGAGAGAAGTATTAAGGGGAGACATGATCACCACGTACAAAATTATTAAGGATATAGTGCAGATAAAGACAAACAGACTACTTAGAATGTGTGATACACAATGTGGACACAATTGGAAACTAATAATCGAATAAATGAATAAGTTAGACTCAAAATATTGTTATCAGTGTTAGTATAGTAAACAAATGGAATTTTCAGGAGAAAACTAGATAGTTTTGGACCAACCGGCCTGTGGTGGAAATGAGGGCCTGCGGGCCGCTCCAAGCAACAGCCTGGTGGACCAAACTCTCACAAGTCAAGCCTGGCCTCGGGCCGGGCTTGGGGAGTAGAACTCCCAGAACCCCATCAACCAGGTATTAAGCAGGTAAGCAAGCCATCAAGCAGGTAAACATACTGGAGCGAACAATATGGAATGATATACAGAGTAGACCCACTGAAGAGAAGAGGTTCCGTAGACACAATTTGGGAATACTGTATTATCAGCAGAGGTTCACGGCTGTTCCTCCTCCTCCTAAGAACCATACAAATATTGCCGGAACAAAAGTGGACGCGTCCAAGACACAATTATGCACGTTCATGCAAGAACTGATGTAAATCAGGTCTTAATGGGCCATAAAAATATAATATGATGTTTATTACCTGGTTGATGGGGTTCTGGGAGTTCTTCTACTCCCCAAGCCCGGCCCGAGGCCAGGCTTGACTTGTGAGAGTTTGGTCCACCAGGCTGTTGCTTGGAGCGGCCCGCAGGCCCACATACCCACCACAGCCCGGTTGGTCCAGCACTCCTTGAAGAAAACTATCTAGTCTTATCTTGAAGATGTCCACAGTTCTTCCAGAAATATGTCTTATACTCGCTGGGAGGATGTTGAACATCCTATTGAAGATAAGTTCGAGCTCCTTCGCCATGGAAAAAAACGAAATATAAAAACGGAAAAGACATATAAAACGTAGACAAATCATATTATTGAACGAAAAAACAATGTAAAGGATCAGGGGATAATCATGCCAGAAGACCTTAGAGAAAACAATAAAGTAGCTGTTACGACTGCAAGAAAAATGGCAGGTTTGATAAGAAGAACCTTTCAAGCAAGGGATGCCATGCCAGTGATGATATTTGTCAAGACACCAGTGCTCTCCAGAGTGGTATACTGTTGCGCAGTAACAGACTCATTCAAAGCTGGATAAATGTTGACCAAATCACACACTAGAAGAGGAAGAGATGACGACGTTTCGGTCCGTCCTCGACCATCATCACTATAGACATGATAATGGTCTTCGTCGTCTCTTCATCTTCTAGTGTGTAGTTTGGTCAACATTACAGCCACGGTATTGTGACTCATCATCTGCAAAGCTGGAGAAGTTGCTGACCTAGAGAGCGTGTAAAGACCATTTACTGCTTGAATCTATTTTTATCAACATTTAAGTTATTGGGACCGATTAATATTCTTAAATCTGTATTCTCTAGAGCGCAAGTGAGAGATATATAATAATCAACACGTGAAGGATATTAGAGGGACTGGTCCCAAACCTGCGCACGGAAATAACATCACACGAGACCAGAAGGCATGACAGGATGTGTACAATACCCCCGTTAAAAAGTGTTTAATCCCCCTCATGTTCAAGAGAGAGAACTATAAACACCTCCAAATGATACCTGATCAACCAGGCTGTGATTCATACGTCAGACTGCGAGCAGCCACGTCTAACAGCCTGGTTGACCAGTCCAGCAACCAGGAGGCCTGGTCGACGACCGGGCCGCGGGGACGTTGGTCTTCGGATTCATCGCAAGTAAGTAATTACCAAGAGAAGGCACCGAGAAAGGTAAACCGCAAGGAATGGGGGTGCGGCGGAAGTGTTCGGGCGTGGAGGGTGGAGAGGTTGATGGGTGGAGCGGTGTGTGGAAGTGGTTGGGCAGGTCCGTCCCCTCCACCTCCACCGGTTCTCTTTATCCGTGCTGTAACTGTGAGCGGGCGACCTCGGGACCAGATTTATTTATTCCTTTGGTAGCGTGTATTGCCCCGTAAGGGAGGAGGAGGAGTTCCCTTCTTGCTGCTGGTGCTCCCTGCTGCTGAGGTGGCTTGGTGAGTCTCTCATCCCCTCTCCCACCTTGCCCCTCCTCTTCCTTCCTCCTCCCCTCCCCTTCATCAATTATCGTCCCCTCTTCTCTCATTCTTCTCCTCTTCCCCCTACCCGTTCCTTTTCTCCCAGAACTCTGGTACTGCTCTTACTCTTACTCTCATCCCTGCCACTGGTACTGCTCTTACTCTTACTCTCATCTCTGCCACTGGTACTGCTCTTACTCTTACTCTCATCCCTGCCTCTGGTACTGCTCTTACTCTTACTCTCATCCCTGCCTCTGGTACTGCTCTTACTCTTACTCTCATCTCTGCCACTGGTACTGCTCTTACTCTTACTCTCATCCCTGCCTCTGGTACTGCTCTTACTCTTACTCTCATCCCTGCCTCTGGTACTGCTCTTACTCTTACTCTCATCCCTGCCTCTGGTACTGCTCTTACTCTTACTCTCATCCCTGCCTCTGGTACTGCTCTTACTCTTACTCTCATCCCTGCCTCTGGTACTGCTCTTACTCTTACTCTCATCCCTGCCTCTGGTACTGCTCTTACTCTTACTCTCATCCCTGCCTCTGGTACTGCTCTTACTCTTACTCTCATCTCTGCCACTGGTACTGCTCTTACTCTTACTCTCATCCCTGCCTCTGGTACTGCTCTTACTCTTACTCTCATCCCTGCCACTGGTACTGCTCTTACTCTTACTCTCATTCCTGCCTCTGGTACTGCTCTTACTCTTACTCTCATCCCTGCCACTGGTACTGCTCTTACTCTTACTCTCATCCCTGCCTCTGGTACTGCTCTTACTCTTACTCTCATCTCTGCCTCTGGTACTGCTCTTACTCTTACTCTCATCCCTGCCACTGGTACTGCTCTTACCCTTACTCTCATCCCTGCCTCTGGTACTGCTCTTACTCTTACTCTCATCCCTGCCACTGGTACTGCTCTTACTCTTACTCTCATCCCTGCCTCTGGTACTGCTCTTACTCTTACTCTCATCTCTGCCTCTGGTACTGCTCTTACTCTTACTCTCATCTCTGCCACTGGTACTGCTCTTACTCTTACTCTCATCTCTGCCACTGGTACTGCTCTTACTCTTACTCTCATCTCTGCCACTGGTACTGCTCTTACCCTTACTCTCACCCCTGCCTCTGGTACTGCTCTTACTCTTACTCTCATCCCTGCCACTGGTACTGCTCTTACTCTTACTCTCATCCCTGCCTCTGGTACTGCTCTTACTCTTACTCTCATCTCTGCCACTGGTACTGCTCTTACTCTTACTCTCATCCCTGCCACTGGTACTGCTCTTACTCTTACTCTCATCCCTGCCACTGGTACTGCTCTTACTCTTACTCTCATCCCTGCCACTGGTACTGCTCTTACTCTTACTCTCATTCCTGCCTCTGGTACTGCTCTTACTCTTACTCTCATCCCTGCCACTGGTACTGCTCTTACTCTTACTCTCATTCCTGCCTCTGGTACTGCTCTTACTCTTACTCTCATCTCTGCCACTGGTACTGCTCTTACTCTTACTCTCATCTCTGCCTCTGGTACTGCTCTTACTCTTACTCTCATTCCTGCCTCTGGTACTGCTCTTACTCTTACTCTCATTCCTGCCTCTGCTACAATCTCTACTCTTTCACTAACTCTCGGTTCCTGCCATTACTACTTATTCAAACCTTCAAATCCAGGGTTGTCACCAAAATGTTCCAACTTTTCAAATCACTTGTGCTTCTCCGCCTTGAGTACTACTCAATACCTGCCTCCCCTTTCAAAGCAGGAGACTTCTGAAATTAAAGGAATACAGAGAAGGTAAAGCTCAGGTACAGTAAAATATATCATTTGCTGGGACCGGCTCAGAGCACTCAAAATGTACGTTGGAAAGTAAGACGAAAAATATTCCACATATGTACATGGAAGATACCAAAATAAAAATAAAATAATGGAGAGAAACGTATGCAAAATAGGTCGAGCAAGGAGAAGAGGTGCCATAGACACTATCAGGGAATATCATGAACATCAGAGGCTCATAGATCCTCAGCCTCCTCTCTCCAAGTATAAGAAATATTGCCGGGACGAATGTGGACGTGTTCAAGACAAAATTAGACGTGTTTCTGGAAGACGGGCAGGACCAACCAGTGGATATGTGGGTCTGCGGGCCGCTCCGAGCAACAGCCTGGTGGACCAGTTCTCACAAGTTAAGCCTGGCCCCGGGCCGGGTCTGGGGAGTAACTGAGTTCTGCAGACACACTACAGGTATTATCCCTGTTTTCTCATCTAGTTGTGCTTGCGGGAGTTGAGCTCTGGCTCTTTGGTTCCGCCTCTCAACTGTCAATCAATTGGTGTACAGATTACTGAGATGTGTGTGTTAGTGCTACCTCTTGTGACCCCTGCTGCCTCTTGTGACCCCTGCTGCCTCTTGTGACCCCTGCTGCCTCTTGTGACCCCTGCTGCCTCTTGTGACCCCTGCTGTCTCTTGTGACTGCTGCCTCTTGTGACTGCTGCCTCTTGTGACTGCTGCCTCTTGTGACTGCTGCCTCTTGTGACTGCTGCCTCTTGTGACTGCTGCCTCTTGTGGCTGCTGCCTCTTGTGACTGCTGCCTCTTGTGACTGCTGCCTCTTGTGACTGCTGCCTCTTGTGACTGCTGCCTCTTGTGACTGCTGTCTCTCGTGACTGCTGCCTCTAATGACTGCTGCCTCTTGTGACTGCTGTCTCTTGTGACTGCTGTCTCTCGTGACTGCTGCCTCTAATGACTGCTGCCTCTTGTGACTGCTGCCTCTTGTGACCCCTGCTGCCTCTTATGACTGCTGCCTCTTGTGACTGCTGCCTCTTGTGACTGCTGTCTCTCGTGACTGCTGCCTCTAATGACTGCTGCCTCTTGTGACTGCTGCCTCTTGTGACCCCTGCTGCCTCTTGTGACTGCTGCCTCTTGTGACCCCTGCTGCCTCTTGTGACTGCTGCCTCTTGTGACCCCTGCTGCCTCTTATGACTGCTGCCTCTTGTGACCCCTGCTGCCTCTTGTGACTGCTGCCTCTTGTGACTGCTGCCTCTTGTGACTGCTGCCTCTTGTGACTGCTGCCTCTCGTGATTGCTGTCTCTTGTGACTGCTGCCTCTTGTGACTGCTGCCTCTTGTGACTGCTGCCTCTTGTGACTGCTGCCTCTCGTGACTGCTGCCTCTTGTGACTGCTGCCTCTTGTGACTGCTGCCTCTCGTGATTGCTGTCTCTTGTGACTGCTGCCTCTTGTGACTGCTGCCTCTTGTGACTGCTGCCTCTTGTGACTGCTGCCTCTTGTGACTGCTGCCTCTTGTGACTGCTGCCTCTTGTGACTGCTGCCTCTTGTGACTGCTGCCTCTCGTGACTGCTGCCTCTTGTGACTGCTGCCTCTCGTGACTGCTGCCTCTTGTGACTGCTGCCTCTCGTGACTGCTGCCTCTTGTGACTGCTGCCTCTTGTGACTGCTGCCTCTTGTGACTGCTGCCTCTCGTGACTGCTGCCTCTTGTGACTGCTGCCTCTCGTGACTGCTGCCTCTTGTGACTGCTGCCTCTTGTGACTGCTGCCTCTTGTGACTGCTGCCTCTCGTGACTGCTGCCTCTTGTGACTGCTGCCTCTCGTGACTGCTGCCTCTCGTGACTGCTGCCTCTCGTGACTGCTGCCTCTCGTGACTGCTGCCTCTCGTGACTGCTGCCTCTCGTGACTGCTCCACCACGGGGCTGCTCCATGTCCTCTCCACCTTCCCCTTCCACCCTCGTATTATGCCTCTTTTCTTCCCACGCTTCTTTCTCTCTCGTCAGCTTCTGTTGGTCTCTTATTTATCATGTCCCCCTTCGCCGTCTTTCTTATTGCCCTCCGCCCTTGCTCCAGCATTACCCAGTTTGCATATTCCTCTTTATCAGCGTGTTCTGGTCAGCGAAGAGGCAGCCGGTCCCCTCTTGCTGCCTCTTCCTCGTCTTCTCTCACACCTCTTTCTTCTCGGCCGCTCTCGCACCTCCCGGCTTTGGTTCATGTCGTTCAGTGTGTGACCTCCGGGTGGGACAGTTTTGTCAATACTGTGTTCCACTCAATATTGTCCCCCCCATTACTGTGTCTCGCTCGCCCCCCCCTTCCCCCCCCCCCCCCCCTCGCCGCCTCCTCCTACCCCCTTCTGTGTCTCGCTCCCCCCCTGTGTGTCTCAGCCGGCCCTTACCTTACCTTACCTTACCTTACCCTAGAGCTTGTCTAGGCCTATCTTCTCCGTGCTGCCCCTGCCGCCCTGGGCCTCCACCCCTGCAGCCCTGGGCCCCCACCCCTGCAGCCCTGGGCCCCCACCCATGCAACCCTGGGCCCCCACCCATGCAACCCTGGGCCCCCACCCATGCAACCCTGGGCCCCCACCCCTGCAGCCTTGGGCCCCCACCCCTGCAGCCCTGGGCCCCCACCCCTGCAACCCTGGGCCCCCACCCCTGCAGCCCTGGGCCCCCACCCCTGCAGCCCTGGGCCCCCACCCCTGCAGCCCTGGGCCCCCCACCCCTGCAGCCCTGGGCCCCCACCCATGCAACCCTGGGCCCCCACCCATGCAGCCCTGGGCCCCCACCCCTGCAGCCCTGGGCCCCCCACCCCTGCAGCCCTGGGCCCCCACCCCTGCAGCCCTGGGCCCGAGCACCGGGCTCCCCACGCCCCCTACGGGCTGTTACTCCCCCAGCACACAACACACATCGTGTACTCTCCTACATGTACTTGTTTAGCACTCGTTTTTATATATTTACACTTAAAATTGTGTGTGTAATTTACATCGAGAAACTTTCTCGTATAATCTATTCCACTTATTTACGATCCTTTGGCTGAGAAACACCTGGAGGCGTCTCTATCAGTAATTTGCATTTCCGGTTTATGTTTATGTTCCTTTGTTTGGCTGTTGGCCGCTTTGAGCATTGGTTCTTTGTCTGCATGTCGATGTTCCTCACAATCTTGTATGTCGTTATCATGCTTCCGTGCCTGCTGACCTTCTTGTCGTAGTGTCACGATTCTTGGGCCCCGCCTCGCCGATGAGTTATCCGGAACAACAACTTCCTGTAGGTTATCTTGAGATGATTTCGGGGCTTTAGTGTCCCCGCGGCCCGGTCCTCGACCAGGCCTCCACCCCCAAGAAGCAGCCCGTGACAGCTGACTAACACCCAGGTACCTATTTTACTGCTAGGTAACAGGGGCATAGGGTGAAAGAAACTCTGCCCAATGTTTCTCGCCGGCACCCGGGATCGAACCCAGGACCACAGGATCACAAGTCCAGCATGCTGTCCGCTCGGCCGACCGGCTCCACATACTTGAACTTGAACTTGAACTTGGTCTAGACACCTCAACAATAGACTACACTCGCACTTAATTAATATATGTGTGTTATCGCGTCCTCAACTGACAGTACTCCCGGGATCAATATCCCCCCACGGGCCCGGTTTCTGAGCTGACCTGGTGGGCAGTCTGCTCGGCCAGTGTTAGATGCTGCCTCTACTATTTGTCCACTTACAAACTTACCTCTCTATATTGTGTCTGTAGTCTGTATCTCCAACGAGGAGTCATAAAGTGTGCACGTGACTGCCTCTACTTGCTTCCTCTGTCTCCTTCCATCTTCTCTATCTCCTTCCATCTTCTCTTATCTTCTTCCATCCCTCTCTATCTCCTTCCATCTTCTCTATCTCCTTCCATCTTCTTCTCTATTTCCTTCCATCTTCTTCTCTATCTTCTTTCATCTGCGTTTGTTAGCCAGCTTGGACCTTCACACCGCAAGGTTATTAATGTATGGGCTGTGTCTTGTAGCGCTTTGTAGTTCATAAACTAATTAATAAATGTCAACAAAATCTCCATGATTGAGGAAAGATGTATAGGTTTCGCAAGTGGACACGTCAATGCTTGATATTTCCTGGGCCGGGTTCTTAAATTTATTAATTTTTAAAGTTTTGCCCCGAGGGGCGAGTTTATTGGGCAGCGCCACTCATCCTGTGAGTGGACACACCGCCATAGTGACAGTATTGGGCAGCGCCACTCATCCTGTGAGTGGACACACCGCCATAGTGACAGTATTGGGCAGCGCCACTCATCCTGTGAGTGGACACACCGCCATAGCAGCATGTACAACACTCCCCAATAGGAAGAAAACCCGCTGGGTTGTTCATCCTGTCACTTGTCTTACTTTTCCTAGTGTTGAGGTTCTCTCCGTAGGTCGTGTTAACTCCGTTATCGTCCCTCTGGCACCATAAAGCTATATATCTGGCGGTGTTAAGCAACCTTCCAGACTAAGATATATGTGGTTTTCATCCTGGCGCTACATATTTACACCCTGGGCTATCAGGCCGGCTGGTTGACGGTCTGATCTGTCAGCCTGTTAATACATGAACCATACCTTGAGGTTACCTTGACGTGATTCCAGTGCTCAGTGACCCCGCGGCCCTGGTTGATACCTGGTTACCTGGTTGATGGGGTTCTGGGAGTTCTTCTACTCCCCAAGCCCGGCCCGAGGCCAGGCTCGACTTGTGAGAGTTTGGTCCACCAGGCTGTTGCTTGGAGCGGCCCGCAGGGCCACGTACCCACCACAGCCCGGCTGATCCGGAACTTCTCTTAGAAAACCGTCCAGTTTTCTCTTGAAGATGTCCACGGTTGTTCCGGCAATATTTCTTATGCTCGCTGGGAGGACGTTGAACAAGCGCGGACCCCTGATGTTTATACAGTGCTCTCTGATTGTGCCTATGGCACCTCTGCTCTTCACTGGTTCAATCTTGCATTTTCTTCCATATCGTTCACTCCAGTACGTTGTTATTTTACTGTGTAGATTTGGGACCTGACCCT